TTTTGCAGCCAGCCTTGTACACTAAACAGTTTCCCTTTTGACACCTACTTTTGCACTTGTCATTCCCGCGAGTAACTTAAGGTTAATGCAAAACAACTATGATATGATAAATTTTCTTTTATAACGTTTTTTCTGTAGCATTTTATTGAATGTCATAGTTTAAGAGATAATTCGATATTATGCATGTTACAGATAAGCTCCTTTCGCCAGCAATGTGACTTTGTGGCTGCTCCGCTGTGATGCTTGTGTTTTGTTAAGTAAGAATCCCTCGCATTATGAGTCCTGCTATGACGGTATTTAATCATTCATTAGCAGCCCAGGGAATTACTTTTCAATAGAACACAACCTCAACATAACTGGCTTCTAGGGTGGACAATTACCAACGCGTTAAGACTAAAGGAAGTGAAACCAAGTTAGCCAGGAATTATCGGAAATCACAGACCACGACGGAGTTTCTTAAATGCAGCTTAGTGTTTTGTGCGCTTATGTTCTAGTTTCTGGATAATGAGACTATTAACGCGTTAATTTCTTGATTTTTTTAAACTCACTAGAACTTGCAACGGCGCTCGTGAATGGATCTCTGACAACATGATCAATCCGTCGCCGGAATACGAGTGCGCCGCAACGGGTCAGGATCATTATCGATCATTTGATGGAAGATGGATCAAGTTTCATCAGGAGAGCTGCAAGTTTACCATGATGAAAGAAGATACTGTCGAAATCTCTGTCAAGAACGAACCATGCAGGTATGGCCTTTCGGCCCTCATTCACTCATTGTAATATTTTCCGTCCTATTATCTTATTCGCTGTTGTGTAATACACAATATTTAGGTGCGTTTCCCAGACCAAGATGGTGGCATGATATTCTACTCTCATACTGCCTCACTCCACCCAGGTGTAAGAATATTTTACCAGCAATCATTATTGGGGGGTGGGAGGGAACAAGAGGTTGACTGTGATGGACAAACATCTCGTTCATAGGGAGGCCCAAACTCTTAGTCGTATCGTGCTAGTTAAATCTTGATGCACTCAGCCATAAGGGGCCAGAAAGGAGCGAAAGATTTAGGCAATCAGGTTAGATCCTAAAACCAATTCTCAATCAATTATCGAAAGCAGTCCCGGATTAGTGAAGTTTCTTTCACCTTGTTTTGTGATTGGTCCAGAAAATTTACGTCATGCATCAACGAATCAGATGCAAAAGTAAAGCCAATCGTAACTTGGTCACCCGCATTTTCCCACGTTTTAAGCAATTTGCCTGTATTTTTAATAAGAATTCTCATTGGTCTTTTGTCATGTTTGCCTTTGCTCTGAATGGCTGTTTTGACCACTCTGTGTTAGGTTTTTGACATTCAATGACAATCGAATTGATCTCTTATTCAAAACCTAAGATGATTTAAGTGTTGTTTACTTCTTGTAGGGATTCACTGGAGTTGCAGATGTGCAAACGAGTTGAAATTAAATTAGAGGGAGGAGCAACTGTGGAGTTGTTCCAAAAGGAATTTAGCATTATTCAAAATCCGAATACAAAAACTTACAAACCCGGACAATATCCCGAGCCGTGCCGGATGATGTCAGACCTTCCTAATGTAGAGATTTTTCACGTGGGGTTGTTCCTTATCGCTCGTATTTACGAGAAAAATAACCCTTTCTTCGTTAAATTTGAGGTAAGAGGATGATTTTTTCGCAAGAAGGTGATTCTGTGCTCGTTTTGTTGGCGGGAAGTTTGGAGTCTTGGATTCTCTCAATTGGTTTGATCGTGTTATGGTGATAAAATTGAAACGAATATCTCGCAGTTCCTTTCAATTTCTCAATTTCCGTTAGTCTTCCTCCCACTCCTCTGTTGTCTGAATTTGAGCTGAACGAAAATTATATGCCTTTTTTGAGTGTTTTTCAAAGTTAAAACTCGTACACTCTTCCTTTTCATGCGTTAAGAACATTTAAGACACTTAACGAAATAAGTTTTTATTTCTTCTAGTTATTTCCAAACATCTGAGATACGGCTTTTCCCCATTGCTATCTCATCTCCTGGCGCTTACTCCTTGTAATCCTCTTCCACGTTATTTGTGCTCTACTCCATTTTCTTCCTTCGTCCGGGCTAAGTTTCTATAATTTACCTTCAACATGTCATTCTACATGTGTCCATTTTTAAAGTATGTGTAACTTGTTAGAAATTTATAGAAGCTTCCTTCGATAGACTCTTCTCCCATCTGAGCTAAAGGTTCGTAAGTGACGAATTCCTTGCATTGTGGTGACAACAGCAAAGTCGGAGGAGTCTTATGGGGAGATAGGGTCTTTGATTACAGAAAATTCTTAAACTAAAGATATCTAAAAACTGTCTCTATAGGTTCGATTTGACCAAGGTTCCCGGGTATACATTACGCCCAATCCAGCCTATAGGAAGGCTGGCAAGCTTTCTGGTCTGTGTGGCAACTTCAACGGACTCGTTCAGGATGACCTGCGGCTTCGCGATAATGTCACGGCAAATGATGACGTTGAGTTTGGTTATGATTGGAAAGATGACGATGACTGCCCCCGTCCAGTGTCTCTTGATCCTTGTTTGTCAAATCCATCTCGCCAAGGCTGGGCCGAGAAAGGTAATTAGTAATATCAGCATTTGAATTTGTTTCGGTAGCGAGCGCCAGAATTGAGCTTAAGTCTTTTCACGAAGAAATAAGATTCGGAAACAATATAATTTTCCATCTTCCATTGGAAAGCAAATGCATAAATTAACTTCTGGCGCGTTTTTAGATTCCAAAGAGTGCCCATACTGTTTTCCTGATTTAAATTGTCTTTAAATGAACTAAACATTAAACTATGGATGTCACTAGCTCGTTTTATTAGTTTGCAGTAGTAGTGGTGGGTTGAAACTAAAAACATAAATAAGAGCAAGTTAACTAATTAAGATAAACAAGCTATAAACAAAAGGCGAATGAAAACAAAGCGAAACGATAAAAAGAAATACTTACATTGATCACGCCCAATATAACTGCAAAATCGACTTCTATAATAGAGAACCTCGCCAGGCGCGACTTCAGGTAAACTGTCTCGAAAATTCATTATGCGTAAAAGGAAATGGCTTTAATACAAGACTGCCAAATAACGTGCGGTATGAGAAACGTGCGAAAAGGTGTAACTGACGAAGAAACACGCTAAGAAGCTCAACAAAAAACATGAACAAAGAGGTGTGGAAAAGGAAAAGCGCGTAAAAAATACGAAATAAAATTAGAAAGCGCTTAGTACTTACAGAGGGTGTTTATTTTTCATGAGGGTGGGACAAAGGGATGAAATGAAATCTTTGCCTGACAAAGAATCGAACGTCATTCCACGGCCCTCACGGTACGATGCTCAACAACCGTGTCACAGAGAACTAAATCGGGGACCGGGCTATGTATTGACTTAACAAATTATGTCCTACTTCTCGTTTAAAAATTGTGAAAATAGATCTACAAAGACAATCGCTTTGTTTTTTAAGGTTGCAACGAGATCAAGAGAAATGCCAACTTCAAAGCATGCCACGATACTGTGGACCCTGAGCCTTACTTCCAGGCCTGTAAGCACGAGTCTTGCCTCTGCAACAAAGGAGGGGATTGCGCATGTTTCTGTTCAGCGATAGCAACTTACGTTCGAGCCTGTAATCAGATGGGCATCTCAATCACGTGGCGTCGTGAAGGCTTTTGCGGTGAGTTTATAGAGCTTACGTGCAGCATTTTTAATCCTTTACAACCTAACATCGGTGTGCATATTGCCCCTACTCTCCTCTACATATTTCCTAATGTATTCAAAAGGAGAGTTTGTTTCACAATCAAGAGCTTCACTAGTTGATGATCATTTCCTTTATTCTGGTGACCTTAACCTGTGATTTTGGGGAGATATTGTAAGGTGAAGTTGTCACTCTAAGGGGTCAAAGAGTAAATAAATCCAGGAGAAGGGGAACGAAATAGATAACATTCAAGAAGGTTTAAAACAGAGAAATGGAAATGAGTGAATTTTCCCCAATGATCCAGCACATCAAGAGCAGTTATTATGTTAATATTTATTGAAAAATTTAGACTTTAGAATGATAGGCACAATATTGAAGACTTGTTGTGGTTCTATTTAACTTCAGCATAGTTCCTAGTCTTATTATCATACTATTACATATATATATATTTCCAGAACTACCATGTTGTCGTCCCTGTGAAAATACTGGTGGTTACCTTGCCAACATTAGTTTACCTTCAACTTGCGAGCAGACTCCAAAGGATTGCGAAAAACTGGGGGCAAGGTGCTGCCGAGGACCCCGTGTGGAAGGGTGTTCATGTCCCAATGGAACGTTCTTCGATGGCAAGAAATGTGTTAATCAGACAAGCGAGTGCGAGAGGCCTTGCGTTGGCTCATCCACTGTCACGCTCTCCACATCAAGTGTGTCAAGTACAAGCAGCATCAGGTGTGTGATGGTGAACACAATTGTCATGGACTGTTATGCTACTCTAGTCGTAATTTTAAGAAGTTATTGCATTCATTTCGAAACAGAGTTCCAGTCCCTCTTAGTTTCATTAACTTCTGTAAAACCAAGATAATTTTTTGATAGGCAGTCGAATTTCAGTGAATGGAAGTCTGTAAAGAAATGTACAAATTCGTTAGACTTGTCCTTTGTAAGGGGTCTTGTCCTCTAACAGTTTGGTATGTATTCTGTTTGTGAGAAATGCCTCAACCTGGGCTACCTGTGGCGCTGACACTCACTCAAATTAGCATCTAGGCTTTTCCTATAAAACTGTAGAAAATTATTCTATCTATAACAAGAAGGCGTTAGAAGCTAACCTGCCCCGTGCATTGGGCATCACTAAAAACATCTAAATGTTTGGCACATTACATAATTACTTAAAAAACAAAAGGAACAACAGAGGAGAAAATGTAAAATTCAGAAGGGAAGAATAAATAGTACTCATCTGTAACTTTTTCCACCTTTTTTACTTACTTATTCAAAGCATTTCAAGTTCCTCGAGTGCAAGCACATCTACCTCAACATCCTCAAGTACAAGCACAAGTACTTCTACATCAGTGTCCACCAGTGTGTCTACCTCTGCCTCAACCAGTGTGAGCACTACTTCATCGGTGTCAACGAGTGTATCAACATTGGTCTCAACTGGTATTCCTAGCAGCTTAAGGTGAATATTTCATTAATCCCTCCAAAGTCAATCTTTTTATAGCTTTTTTTATTTGACGCCGCTTAGTTTAACGTTTAAACTCAAACCAAGAAACTAGCGAAAAATAAATGTCATTGTCAAGTATGTAAACTTTTGATAATAGTCAGAGAAGTTGCATTCCTATTAATTTTTAACAGTCTGTTGCTTTTGGTTTTTGGATTACATGCATGATTTTAAATAGTACCTCTAAGATCAATTGCTTTGTTTACCAATTCTGGCAAAACGTAAGACAGGTAGCTATGCAGAAATAAATCCCTGTTTCTGTGCCTTAATGACATTAGTTCCGCCAGTCAGCCTCGTAAAGTTACATTTCACGTCACCTTTTGTAACCTGTTTTGATTAACGGGTGTTTTCTGAACACTCGTTGCAAGTTGTAATCGTATATTGAAGACTGTTATGAGAGGAATCTAAACGCTTGATGGATTTTGCTGAGCCTAACTGTTCATGGTGCATGTATTGCGTTAAATCTGAACGTTTTATGAACCGCGTAGAGCGAATTTAGTTAGTATTAGAAGTCAGTGCTTAACTTCTGACATTGTTGTAATTTTTCTTTAATGCATAGTACGTCAACGTTGACCTCGAAGTCTACCCCAACCAGTATATCTACGTCGATATCTACTAGCTTGTCCAGGTATGAATAGTTATCTAAAGTTTATTGTGGTACCCTTTGAATGAACGATTTACATGAAAATAAATCTTACAATACGTTGAAAAAATATCAATTGAAGATACTTTTAATGATTTTGAATGATTTTTGCCCTCTAGCTGGCATGAGGCAGATAAATTTTTTAAATATTAAAGATATGTTTTATTTAAATTTATTTTGTATTTCGGAAAAAAACGTCATGAAGTTCGCGACGAATACCGTTGTTGTCTTGGTGAGTGGGAAAATCACCGAGCTGTAGAATGGGCTTGAACTCTCTGCAGAAACTACGGAAATTCCGTAGGCACAACACATATTATTATGGCTAAATATCAATTATTCCCAAAAAGGAGGCTTTATGTAGGGTATTTTACCAGGATTAAAACCAGAAACAGATCGACACCTTTTTCATTGCGTAGCATTCCTCGATATGCAAATTTATCCACTGCCCCGGGCTGACTAATGTCAGTTTAGCAGCACAGCGGTCAAAGGTTTGTGCACGTGCAAATGTTTAAACGATGAAAAGGCGGTCCAACACCTTCATGCTAACGGAACCAAGTTAACTCCTGAAGTTAATAACAACCACACAAGACGGTTACTGACAGTTCTTAACTTTGTCGATAAAGCTCAAACCAAACTGACAACTCAGCAGAATATTCGTAATTGAACAAACTTTGCGTTCAATCTTAATTTTCCTGTGAATTTAGCTTCACATCATTTCAGTGATATTTTGCGTTTCAATTTTTTTCACGTTAATTTTGCGTGGTGGGGCTGGCTCCTTTTGTTTATTCTTTTAAATGTGCATAGGCAATTCGCACTCGGCTAACCAAAACTAATGCATATGCGCATGCCCTACGTTTGACCGCTGTGTTCAGTTGAGCTGACGGGAATCTCCTTTCGATTTCTTTTCAACCTTCATTGTGCGGTAAACAGATCAAAGCGGGAAACAGATCATACTTAGTCACGGATACAGCAGGTGATCATAAAGGGGGAATTGCTGACCAAGTTGTTGTTGTTTATCGGTGGCGGTGGTGGCAAAATAAGAGATTAAATTTAGGAAACGGTAATGAACGCAGGAGTAATATTTCATTGTGGTAATACGGAAGAAGGAAGATTGTAAATGAGCTGTTGTTGGTTACATTGACTGACGTTTCGAACAATGTCACTTGAAGATATGTTTATTGTCGACTGTTATGAGTTGCGCTCGTGGGAGCTGACTGCGTATTTGATTGGTCAATTTTCGGTTAGTGTTGCAGGCTGTAAGACTCAATTAGTTTTAGTCAGTTGTGTTGATCAGTTTCCATTTTACGGATATTCAGGTTATGCGATCCAGTTTGTTATGTTAACGTCACGATAAGGTCGTTTTGATAATGATGGCGGTGACGATGGTGATAAGTTTGATGCTAGCAAAGATTAAAATGAAGGTGATGACTATTGAAGTTGATGGTGAAAATGATGCTGATGATGGGAGCTGTAGTAGTAATATTTCACTTTGTAGTTTTGGTGGCGAGGAAGAGCAAGCTTTGTTACTCTATTACTAAGTTAGTTTGTTGTAGATGATAGGAGAAAGAAGTGAGATGCAGAAGTTTTTTTTAAAAATAATTTTCATTTATGAAGTTAAGCTCAAACAGTTAATGGGAATGTAGATATGAATTCCCTCTTTCGATCTCTTAGTTCACCGCTATACACTCAAGGTCAATCATCCTACGGTGCAAGTGTATCAAAATCAGTTTTTAATGTGTCTTCGACCAAGTCAACGTCCGAGGCGATATTTCCCCCACTCTCGTCATATCAACGATTTTCAGAGAAAACAACAGCCACTGTGTTCCCCTCGTCTGCGTACAGTTTGTCCTCTAATGAACAGTATTCAATACCTACATCAAGTAGGAAGCCGCCGAGTTTGAAGCCTCCGACGACATCTTCTACATCAAGTGTCTCATCTTCCAGGTTATTAGCATTACCGTCAGCTTTGGAGAGGAAGGGTGGGGTTGGGGATAGAGGGCAGAGGGATGGAGGATAGGGGGAGAGGAGGAAAGAACCACCAACATTCATCGGGGAGGAAAAGGATTGTTTATGAAATAAAGGGGAAATCGAGGCCTTAGATCGATGAAGAAACGTCTCTAAGATGCAAAAAATTGTAGTTTAACTATTTAGACTATTCGTGCGATTGATCGCATGGTCGGAAAACGCACTTTTTGACTATTTCAGAAGAGTTGCGCAGTGAGGAACCTCCTCGTTACTCCTCTTGGCTTGAAGTCAATCTGCGTTATGTACATCTCGCAAATCACTTGTTTCATCCCTCCTTAGATAAATCCAGCCGGAAAGTATGAAACACACTCTTAAAGGTTTTTGTTAAGTATAAACAAATGAAATGACGTGAAAAACATCGAAAAGCATAAAGCGAATTAAAAAAGATTCAAAGCGCAGACCATATCGTTAAATGGTACTTTCACTGACTAAGTTTTACTTGTCGTTCTAATTTCAATACCTTTTAACTCAACAGTAAATCTATATCAACTTCAACAAGCACCTCAATAAGTTCAAGCTCAAGCTCAAGCTCTAAAAGTTCAAGCAGGTCGACTAGTGTTTCCACAAGTGTATCAACTTCATTAAGTACAAGTACTTCCACATCAACCTCAACAAGTGTCAGTACTTCGTCATCACTATCCAGCAGTGTGTCAACCTCAACCTCAACAAGCGTATCTTCATCAGTTAGCACCAGCACGTCTATTACAACGTCATCATCAACAAGCACTAGTACACCAACAACGTCAGTTTCCACCACGTCATTAAGTGCCAGCACAAGTACTTCAGCATCAGTGTCCACCAGTGAGTCTACCTCCACTTCAAAAAGTCTAAGTACTTCAACTTCAGTGTCCACTAGTGTGTCTACTTCAACATCAACTAGTGTAAGTACACCATCAACTTCAGTTTCCACTACATTGTCAAGTGCCAGCACAAGTACTTCAACATCGGTATCCACCACTGTCTCCACTTCAACCTCAACAAGTAAAAGCACACCAACAACGTCAGTGTCTACGACATATTCAAGTGGCAGCCTAAGTACTTCAACATCAGTGTCTACTAGTGCGTCTACCTCGACGTCAACAAGTAAGTCGACATCAACCTCAACCTCTGCCTCAACATCAACTAGTGTTTCGACTTCTGTCAGCACAAGCACTTCAACATCAACATCGGCAAGTATTAGTACACCAACTACAACA